TGGAAGGAGGGGAAGGAGGACGGATGGACTGGGCGAGAACGGAGGTCTGGAGGGAGGGAGGGAGGAAGCGAGGAAGGGAAGGCATCTAGGATTAAGGTGAGGGTAACAGATCTAGGATATCCTAACGCAACCGGTCCCGTGCACCTCATTCTCCTCCTCCTTCCCTTATCCCCTCCCTTTCTTCCTCCCTCTCCACCTCCCTCCCTCCCAACCTGTGCCAGAGTCTCTCGTACGCTCAATTCTGCTTCCAGGGTCTTCAAGTGCCGAAATTCGCACACTGCTTCCGAAATTTTGCCCTGAGAGAGGGAGGGAGGGAGGGAGGGAGGGAGGAAAGGAGGGAGGGTGGGGAAGGATGAACGTCGAAGACCCAAACCCTAGCCCTAAGCCTAACCCAAAGCAGGCAGGAGGCGAGGAAAAACAAGAGAGAGTGGAATAGAGGGGGAACAGATCGAGTGAGGAAGAGCGAAAGGAAGGCAAGAGGGAGGGAGGGAGGAAAGAAGGGAGGGAGGGAGGAAGGGCCATGGAGCATCCTGGGGGTGGGCAGGTCGTCCCCGGTTCCCAAACGGGGGGAAGATGGCGCGAAAATAGGAAAGAAGCCAGGAGGGAAAGAAGGAGAGGAAGGGAGGTGGCGTACCTCCTTCTTGAGGGCAACGGCTTTCGCCTTACTTTCTCTCACTGCGTCCTGCAGTCGAGCCATCTCCAGGTCGTTGCTTGGAGGGAGGGAAGGAGGGAGGGACGGAGGCCCCGGGGCAGGGAGGGGCTCCTCCTTCCCTTTCTCCGATCCTCCTGGGTTTTCTTCGTCCCCCCTGGGCCATTGGCTTTCGCTAGCGTCCTTCCCAACAATTCCGGGCGCTTCCGTTCCCGCCTCTGTAGGAGAGCCGCGGGCATCCTCCTTGCCCCCGCCATCGCCGCCACCCTCCTCCTTTCCTTCCTCCTTCCACCCCAGTTGCCTCAACTCGTCCTGCAAGTCTGCGGCGGGGACAGGAGGGAAAATCAACGGATCGGAACGGGGTCGGCTCAAGGCGAAAGGGGCATTGGGTGTTCTTCCTCCCTCTCCCTTCTTCCTTCCTCTCCTGTTCGCCTCCTTGCCTCACCCGCATCGAGCACCCCATCTGCGTCGAGGCGTTCGTCCAAGTCCTCTCCCCCTTCCTCCCCTCCTTCCCCTCCTGAAGCCCTGTCGCCCTTCCGGGTATTCAGGGCATCGGACGCCAAGATGTTCGTCTCCGTCCCTGTTTCCTCCCCCTCGCCCTCAGCCGGGAAGCCCGGGCTGGAGGGAGAAAGAACGCCCAAAGCCAGCTTGCGAGGGGCGGTGGCAGGCACAGAAAGGGAGGCAAGGAGCGTGTCTGCGAAGGAAGAAGGAGAGGGGCAAGAGTGGGGGACAGACGGCAGGAGGTTTTAGATGCTACTTCCTGAAATCGCCCCTTGATGCACATTCCCAGGTTTTCCATTTTTTCTTCCAGTCGCTTGAATAATCCTCGGGCGTGGCGCATTCCTGAACAGTTCCAACCCCCCGGCCCTCCTTACCATCTAGTGCCTCCTCTCCCCCTAGGGCAGCAAGCTCCGCCATTAACGATGGGTCTCGACCAAAGTCTTCAAGAATCTGGACTGGATCCATCATCATTTGCTTTGTAATTCCAGGAAATGAGGGGAAATAATGGACGGGAGAGCAATGGACAGGATCGTCTGAGACTAAAAGCATAGCCTGGGGTCAAGCGTGCACAACACTTGGAGGGCGTGCTCAAATTCCACACTTGTACTACAATCCTTGCATCGATTTCATCACGTCACAATCAATCACGCCAAAATCTTTCATTTTTTATCCCCTTCATTGCATCTCCTCCCTGCACGTAAGTCTCTCACCTTCAACAGCTCATCCTCATCGTTCTTCTCCTTGCTGACCCCGTTGTCCTTTTTCCTTCTACCGAACATGGCCTCTTTCACAGGGCTCCTTGTTCCTAGAGGCATGAATGCAAACAGATGAAAAATATACATAAGTTAGACAGGAGAGGAGGGAGAGGTCAGTTACATGGAGGCGGTGAGGGGGAGGGGGAGGAGTGGGGGAAAGGAGGATGGATGCCTGTTTGTTCAAATGAGTAATATTTGGTTTCACCATCAAATGCTGACACTACGAACAGGCTATCAAGAATTTCAACACGTAAAAATTTTCATTCCATGTCCATAACCAACGCAAGACACGCTCAATCGAAAATGTACAAGAGATTAAACTCTCCTCGAGGGGTCTCGATG